CTCAGGGGTGAGCAGGCAGAGGGAAAAGAGGGAGAAAAAGCAGGAAAAAAATCTCTTAAATCCGCTTTTCATCAGCTGTGGGAGCATCTCCAGCTCCGTGGTGCCTCCAGGACCCCCGGCATTCCCGGCAGAGCCTCTCCAGGGTTTATTTATCCCCGAGCACATCGCTGCTCTCCCTATATTTAGCCCTTGAATGGAGAGAGATTTTACAGACGCCTGACTCTGCCTTGTGCTCCAAAAGTCACTCAGTGTTTCCATGAGAAACCCGCGGGGAGTGGGGGGGGATCCAATCCGGAGCTCCGTGACAAAATCCTGCCCAAAATCCTTCCCAAAATCCTTCCCCGCGTATTCCAGCAGCGCTGGATTTACCCCGTCCGCCCCCTCCGGGGATGAGATCAGGATCTGGCCCCGGGTTTTGATGGGTTTGTAACTTGGCTGATACAACTCGGCTGATTTAATTCATTTTTCAGGCTCAAAAACTCCACCTACAAGTTCCCAGCCTGGGAGGCATTAAAAGCAAATTAATCCAAATATTAGAGGCTGGGTTTAAAGGGAAATCATCAGGGAAGGTGGATTTTTTTTTTATTATTATTATTTTGTTTTTTTTTTTTTTTTTAGGGAAGAGCCTGGGGGAGAAGTTTTCTATTTTGGGGTTATTTATTTTACCTTGGTGCTGCCTCAAGGCCTGGCACTGCCCACTGCTCTGCTTCACTTCCAGAGCAGCCAGAAAAGCCTGGGGGAGGAAAAGAGGTGGCAAAAATCAGGAAAACAGCCGAGATTCCCATGGGGATTTAGGTCCTTGGTGGAGAATTTGGGTGCTGCCGGTCACTGGGGGAGTTTGGCTGATTTTCCAGGGAATGGGAAGGGAGAGGCCTCAGGGATGTGGTGGGGATCCAGAGGAGCTGGGTGCAATGAATGAGAGAAATCCACTGGGAATCCACCCGGGAATCCAGCCAGGAATCCACCTGGGAATCCACCCAGGAATTCACCTGGGAATCCACCCAGGAATCCACCCAGGAATCCACCCAGGAATCCACCCAGGAATCCACCCAGGAATCCAACTGGAGATTCACCTGGGAATTCACTTGGGAATCCACCCAGGAATTCACTTGGGAATCCACCCAGAAATCCACCCAGGAATTCACACAAGAATCCACCAGGGAATCCATCCAGAAATCCACCCAGGAATTCACACAAGAATCCACCAGGGAATCCATCCAGAAACCCACCCAAGAATCCATCTGGGAATTCACCCAGGAATTCATCTGGGAATTCACTTGGGAATCCACCCAGGAATCCACACAAGAATCCACTTGGGAATCCACTTGGGAATCCACTTGGGAATCCATCTGGAAATACACCCAGGAATCCACCCAGGAATCCAACTGGGAATTCACCCAGGGATCCACCCAGGGATCCACCCTGGAATTCACCCCAAATCCAGCCTGTCCCTGCTGTCACCCCAAATCCGTCCTGTCCCATCTGTCACCCTATACCAGCCCGTCACCATCATCACCCCAAATCTGTCTGTCCCCATCATTACCCCAAATCCAGCCTGTCACCCCAAATCCAGCCTGTCACCCAAAATTCAGCCTGTCTCTTCTTTCAGCCTATACCAGCCTGTCCCCAGTGCCACCCCAAATCCAGCCTGTCCCAGTGCGAGCAGCGTGGGGACACCTCTGTCACCTCCCCGGGGGTGGCCAAGCCACCGGGAGGAGCAGGTGAGTGGAGCAGGAGGGAAGCAGAGACCAACACAGAGGGTCCCAAAATATTCTGTGAAGGAATTTTTCCCATCTGCAGCTCGTGGGGACAGCTCGGTGCTGACTTGGAGGTGACACTCCTGCTCCTGCTCCTTCTCCTCCATGTGCTTCTCCTTAAACGTGGCCTGGAAGAAGCTCTGGGGCCGTTCATGCCTCTCAAAAATCACATTTCCCCACACGGATTTCGGGATTTTGGCTGCTCCCTCCCGCAGCCGCTACCCTGGGGTGGAAAACCTGTTTTTCCCCTTTTTAACCCAAACCCAATGCTGCAAATTCCCGGCAAATTCCTGCTCACACGGCTTCCCTGGGGCAGGAAGGCTGATTTCCTTCCAGGAGCCCAAATCCAGATGGTCAGAGATTCCTTCCAAGCTCCCAGAACCTGTTGGAAAAGGCCATTATGTCTCAATAGCAGCTCTGCATGGGAAGCCGTGCCTGCCAGCTGCTCCAACACCTCTTTTCCAAGCTGTTCTGTGAACCAGCCTGCTCAGGGCTGGCAGATTTTGGTGGAGGAATAAAAATCCCCGTGTTTATTCCCATTTTTTTGTGTGTGGCGGGCAAACGTGGAGTGAGTGAAAGGGGCCTGAGTTTGGTTTTTGAGTCCTTGTCATGAGAATGCCCAGCCCTGAAATATTTTATATTTTATTATCTATAAAGCTATAAATCTATAAACCTATAAATCTAGAAATATATACATATATACATATATACATATATACATATATACATATATACATATATACATAATAAATAAATAAATAAATTTATATATATGTTTTATTTTCAGTAGGAATAACCCTGGAAACTCCCAAGGAGCAATTGAGGAGGAATTCCAAACCCAGGGCATTTTCCTCTTCCCAAAGGTGGTTGCGAACAATGCCCAATCACTTGTTTTTTTTAAAATTTTAAAAGTTCGATAATAATAAAATGGTTATAAAAATAATAATACAATTAGAGGAATAAAGTTTAGAGTTAGGACAATACAAGACAATACAAAGCAAAGAATTATGGATGTTTGGGTGCTTTAAGTCATGAAAAGCATGACTTGTGAACAAAAGAATCATCCTTAAACCAATCCACTTGTTGCATATTCATATATCCTTCATGGTTATGCATATATTTTATTTAAAACAAACTCTGTCTGTTGTATGTCAGTTGTTTCCTTTAATCCCTGGGCGTCTTCGATCTGAGCAAGGCCTGAAGAAATTAAGCTTATTCTGATAAGAAGCCATAAATTCTTCTCTTTTAGAAGATTTTGGTGTTCCTTGAAGCGAGTATCTCATTCCTAAAAAAATAAAAAAACAACTTCCCCCACATACATAGTCTATATTTTAACATTAAGTTGTAACCTAAAAGTACATTTAACACACTACCGAAGAGAATTAACACAGCATCACTTTCTAACATTACACACATAATATTCTTCGTGCCATTTGCGAAAAGCCAATCACAAAATCTGCATTTTTCACAGTCGTGCTCCAAAGGATGCGGAGATGGAATGAAATCCAACCCGGGCAGCTCTGATGTCGCTCGGGTGACTCCAAAAAAACATTCCCAGCTCCAAAAAAATCCCCTGGATCGGCTGGGCTGGGCGAGAAGGTCCATCCCGGAGAGCTGAGGGAGGAATTCTGCTGGAAAATGGGGTGGAAATGAATTCCCAGGGCTGGCAATGTGGAATTCCCGAGGTGCAGGCCCAAACCTCTTGGGATAGCTAATGAGGGGCTAATTAACGAGGGCTAATGAGGGGCTGTGGCCGCAGGGGTGTTGCACTGGTTAAACTGGAACAGCTGGAGCCCAAACTGGGATTTGGGAGGGGATTTTTGGAACCCCCTCGAAGCCCTGCATGGAATCCTTCCATGGGGAATTTTATCCGGGTTCCTTTAGGAAAAGGGGCGAGGGTGGGATTTGGGGTGGGGGGGTTGGGCGTGCTGGATCTCAAGGTGTCAGCACCCCCAAATTTGTGCTGCCTATGAGGGGACAGGGTGGGTCAGAGCCACCCCAAAAGTGCTAAAACCCCCCAAAAAACCCCAATTTTGTCCCAGGTCACAGAATTCCTTCTGCCACCTCCACGGCCGGAGTGGGGAGGGGGCTGGGCATGAGGGTGCCAGCGGTTTTTGGGGTGCCCACACTGCCCTGGGGGGTCCCCACAGGTTTTGGGGGTGCACACTCCAATCTGCTTTCAGGGTGGGGTCCCCACATTGCCCATGGGGGTCCCCACACTGTTTGGGGGCACCTTGGGCTGTGTCTGGGGGTCCCCACATTGCCCGGGGGGGTCCCCATTCTTCCCGGGGGTGCATCTGCCTCCCTGCCCAGCGTGTCCCCACCCTGCTTGGGGACCCCCATATCGCCCCGGGGTGTCCCCAACTCTTCCCAGGGGTGTCCCCACATCGCCCAGGGAGTGTCCCCAAATTTCCCAGTGGTGTCCCCACCCTTTTGGGGGGTGCACCCACTGCCTTGTCCAGCGTGTCCCCACCCTGCCTGGGGGACCCCGTATTACCTGGGGGTGTCCCCACCCTGCTTGGGGACCCCGATATTACCCGGGGGTGTCCCCACATTGTCCGGGGAGGTCCCCACACTGCTTGGGGGTACCTGGGGTGGCACCTGGGGGTCCCCACATTGCCCATTGGGGTCCTCACATTGCTCGGGGGGTCCCCACATTACCTGGGGGTGTCCCCACCCTGCTTGGGGACCCCGATATTACCCGGGGGGGTCCCCACATTGCCCGGGGGAGTCTCCCCTCTTTCTGGGGGTGCATCTGCCACCCTGTCCAGCGTGTCCCCACCCTGCTTGGGGACCCCGATATTACCCGGGGGGGTCCCCACATTGCCCGGGGGAGTCTCCCCTCTTTCTGGGGGTGCATCTGCCACCCTGTCCAGCGTGTCCCCACCCTGCTTGGGGACCCCGATATTACCCGGGGGGGTCCCCACATTGCCCGGGGGAGTCTCCCCTCTTTCTGGGGGTGCATCTGCCACCCTGACCAGCGTGTCCCCACCGTGCTTGGGGGTCCCCGATATTACCCGGGGGTGCCCCCACCCTTTCCAGCCGTGCACCCCCCGCTCTGCCCGTGGGCTCCTGCCATGTTCGGGGTCCCCCACGCCGCTGTCCCCCCCTCGCTGGTCCCTTCACCCCGTTCCTGTCGCCGTCCCCCTTAAGCGGCCGTCGGGGCGTGCAGCCACCTTAAGGGAGCCCCTCCCCCGGCGGGCTGGGACGAGCCCTCCCCCTCCCTGCCCGCCGTCCCCTCCCTCGCCGGCCCGGCCCCGCACGGCCCCGCACGGCACGGGGGGTTGCCATGACAAGCATTTTCTCCCGTTAGCTCCGGGACCGCTCCCCTCCAGCCCATGGCCAGTCGCGGGGGCTCCGCCGCCAGCCGGGCGCCGTGGGACCGGAGCCGGTGAGTGCAAGGGGTGGGGGGGACACGACCCCGAGAGCTTGGGGGTACGGGGGTCCCGCGGGGGGTTTGAGGTGTTGGGGACACGGCGGGGGGACGCACGGGAGTGGCGTGGGGTGGCTGCGGAGCGGGGGTCTGTGTCGGGGCCGGGGGTGGGAGCATCGCCGCCCCCGCCGTGGGGGCGGTGGGGCGCTGGCAGCGGCGGTTTCACCGCCCCGCTCCGTCCCGGTGCAGCAGGTGGGATGGGGGGGCTCGCCGTGGGTTCTACATCACGGGGGGGTCGGTGTGGGACCCCCCCCCAGACCCCAATCCCACGTGGGAGAAGGGTGGGGTGGTGGGGTGACCGCGGTCCGGCCGCTCCGGGGCGTGGGCGGCTGCGGGGAGTGCAGCCCCCAAATTTCTCGTGGGGGGGGTAACTCCGGCAGCCCCCCGGGTTTTGGGGTGGGGAGGATGCTCCGGTCGGATCCTACAACTTGTTGCCCGCCCTTGAGGTGGCTGTGTGTGTGCGGGGGGGAGGACGGTGCGGGGTTCCCGGTCGCGCGTGTTGCTGGATTTTTTGGGAGGCAGCGGGTTGTGGCATTGCGGGGAGGAGGAGGATGAGGATGATGGAGGAAGGAAGAGGCGGGGGAAGGGGAGGGGGGCTTGCGGCAGCCCAAGGACAGAGCGGGGAAGGTGCTGCGTGGGTGGGTTTGGGGTGGTTTTTTTCCCCCACGCGTGGGGCAGCAAAGGGGGCTGCTCCCTGCCTGGAGTGGGGTGACTCGGGTGGGGGGCGCGTGGGGAGGGTGGGATGCGGTGGGGAGGTGCGTGGGAGGGGAGGGGGGGTTTGCCCACGCCACGGCTGGGCACGTCTCCCTCCTGCCTGCACCAATCCAGCTGGGCAGAGCCACAGCAGAGAAAACAGGAGTGGGGAGGCGGAAAATAAATTAAAAAATAAATCAGGAAATCTATTGCAAGCTCGGCCAGGCTCTGGCCTCGTCCGCCTCCTCCTGCCTCTGTCCCCAGCGCTCTCGCTGCATCCCAGCCCGGCTCCGGAGCCTCCCAGCATCCCTGGCCTGGCTCGGTGGGTCCGTGTCCCCCGTGGGCTGCCGGCGGCGGGGGCGGGGGGGGCTGTGCGGAGCTGGGTGGTCCCTCCCCGCTTCGCCAGAGGCGAGTGGAGATGTTGGGAGGGGAGGAGGGACAATAGGTTATTGTGCTCTTATCTCTGGAGACCTGAGCTTGGGTGGGGGTTTGCATTGCGAAGCCCAAACCAGTGCAGCCAGTTTCTGCCCGTGGCCGTGGACTGGCAGCCCCGGACGTGGGTGGACGGGCAGGAGCCGAGGGCAGCGAGCCGGGGTGGAGGTGAGTGCTCGGAGCTCGCCATGGGGCACCCAGAGCCGTCCTGGGGCCGGGGGACCCCCGAGGTGAGCCCCCCATCCCAAACCCCCTGGGCTGCGTGGGCAAGGCAGGGGCTGCACCGCTGCCTGCGCCCTGCCTGCCTCCAGACATTGCCCTCAATCTTTCGCTTCTCCGAGCACTGAAACGCACCTAAATTATTCAATCATGAGCGAGCGAGGCTGACGCCCCCGCGCTCCGCCAGCCCCACCCCGCCGCGCCCCGGGGATCCCTCGCCGGCCCTGGGCTTCCCTCCCCGGCTGCCCCCTCGGGTGACCGCCCGGACCCCTCCGTGCGGCCAGGCTGGCGGCTCGGGGGGGCTGGAGGTGCCCTTCGGATCGGAGCGGCGGAGGACCCTTCCTCAAAGGTGGGCGCTGGGTGGGCTTGGAGGCCAAATTGTGAGTGCCCGAGGCCCGGCTGCATCGCCTGGGCTGGCGGATGGCCGCGGCACGGGGAAGGTGCCGGTGCCGGGATGGTGCGGCTGGAGCTGGGAGGAGGCAGCGCTTCCCCGTTCCGGCCCCGGCACCGCGCGTTCCCCGCGGGCTCCGGCCCCGGCCCGCCCTGGCCGCCGGCGGGGCCGTGGCTGCCGCTCCCCGTCCTACCTACCCCGGCTCCTTCCCGGCTGGAAAAGCGCTGAGAAGTGCTGCAGGTAGAGAGGTTTGAGAGGGCGCATTCTGTTGTTGGGTGTTGGTTTCTTTTCTCCTTCCTTTTTTTTTCCTTTTTTTTTTTTTTTTTTTTTTTTTTTTTTTTTTTTTTTTTTTTTTTTTTTTTTTTTTTTTTTTTTCCGCTGGCGATGATGACGGAGGGAATTCCCTGCGCTGCCGGCTCGCCGCTCGCGTGCCGTGGGTCCGCATCTCTTCCCGGGGGAATCTGCCGCTGTCACCCCAGCCTTGCGCCTCCGGAGCCGGGAGCCGCCGCGCCCGAGCCCCCGGGCAGGGCGGGGGCAGCCCAAGGGTGGCACGGCTCCTTGGGCAGGATGAGTAAGAGCAGCAGGGAGGGACGCCTGCTCCTCTCCACTATTGTTTAGCAGTCGAAAGCTCCGGGGTGGAGCTGAGCCTGGAGTTTCCCCTTGTCCCCAAGCCCTGCGAGGCGAGCCCGCTCCTTCCCCGCCGCCCCTCGCCGGGGCCGCGCGTTCCCCGCGCGTTCCCCGCTCCTCTCTCGGGTTATGTGTTTTCTTCTAGTTTTTTTTTTTTTTTTCTATTCCTGTTTCTCCTCCCTGCTAGGCCACGAGCGGAGTTTTCCCGCAGGGTTGGAGCCTGCGGGGAATTTGGGGACCCAAATCTCTGCGGTGCCGGGGGGGACTCGCAGCCGCCACCCGCTCGCTGCTGCTGCTCCCCGAGCACGGCCCGGCCGAGGGCTGGGCCGGGCTGGGCTGGCAGCTCCGGCTTCCTCCTCGCCCAGGGCTCCTCCCCGCCGGGCACGGCTGCGCCCTGCTGGGAAAGGAGCCGGAAAACCTGCGGGGAGAGCCCGGGCATCCCGCTGGGTCCGGGAGAGCCCGGGCAGGGACAGCGAGACCCGGCGGGGAGACACGGTGTGGCTCTGGGAAGTGACCGATGGTCAGTGTGGGTGTGGAAATGGGGTGCAGATCTTTTGGGAAGTGACCCATGGTCAGTGTGGCCGTGGAAATGGGATGCAGATCTTTTGGGAAGTGACCCATGGTCAGTGTGGCCGTGGAAATGGGATGCAGATCTTTTGGGAAGTGACCGATGGTCAGTGTGGGTGTGGGAATGGGTGCAGGTCCTTTGGGAAGTGACCGATGGTCAGTGTGACCACAACAGTGGGATGCAGGCCCTTAGGTGGGAGGTGACCAGTGCTCGGTGTGACCATGGCAGTGACCAGTGCTCGGTGTGACCATGGCAGTGGAAGTGACCGGTGGTCACTGTGACCATGGCAGTGGGAGTGACCATGGTGGTGGAAGTGACCACTGCTCGGTGGGAGGTGACCATGGCAGTAGGAAGTGACCAGTGCTCGGTGTGACCATGACAGTGGGAGCTGACCAGTGGTCACTGTGAGGTGACCATGGCAGTGGAAGTGACCAGTGCTTGGTGTGACCATGGCAGTGACCAGTGCTCAGTGTGACCATGGCAGTGGGAACTGACCAATGGTCACTGAGGTGACCATAGCAGTGGAAGTGACCAGATCTCGGTGTGACCACGCTGATGGATGCAGGCCCTTAGGTGGGAAGTGGCCACTGCAGCACAGGCGGTGCCACTTCCCTGGTGTCCCCCGTCTCCTGTGGCTGGCTGGAAACTCCTGGATCCAGGGATGCTGCAGCATTCCCAGTAAGGAATGGCTGTTCTGGCACGCCGGAGGGGCTCTGGTGTGCAGAGCTGGGAATTTGAACCCATCCCTGTCCCCCTGTCTTGTGCTGGGGGGAATAGGGATCCGATAGGTGGTGATGGGGCTGGAGATGCTCCTGTGGGAAGGAGCTTTGATGGCAGAGGTGGCAGAGCTGTCCCCAACCTCCCTCCTCTCCACACTGGTGCAGGCAGAGGTGACCAGCTGGGGGACAGGGACAGGCAGGTGACGGGATCCTGCCCAGCCCAGCGGTTTTCCAGTGGAAGCCACTGGTTTTCCCAGTGACACTGGGACAGGGAATGTGTTTTGGGGTGCAGGGATCGCTGGGAGCAGTCGGGTGACAGCCACAATCCCTGTCACCTCCTACCAGCGCTGAGGCTGAGCTAATGAACCCTGTGACTTTGATGTTTTAATTAGTTGCTTTTGGCTTTAATGCACGGGGATAATAGAGTTTCTATGGACTTATAAACCCTGCCCCTCTGCTGGATCGTTAGGAAAAGGGAAAAAAGCCACAAGGTAAGGCTGGGTAGGGACAGGAGGGAAGCTTGGAGCCCTGTGGAGTGCATGACACCCGCTGGGGTGTCACCCAGCCCGCTGGTGACTCTTTGAAACCGCTAATTAAGCACCTTAAATCCTGGGAGAACTCTCTGTGAGTAAGAGCTGAGTTCAGAGTCCTCCTGCATTTGTGAGCTTCTGGGAGGGGTCTCAGATTGGAACGTGGGAAGCTGATGCACAGCGAGGTCCCGGGAATTTTGGGATTTTGGGATTCCCTTTTGGGGCTGGCCCTGCTCCCTCCAGGGTGCAGAACTCCACCAGGGTCCCCATGTCCCACCAGCCTGGGCTGGTGACAAGGGACAGGCTGGGGACCCTGGTGGAGTTCTCCTGGGATTTCTGGATCATGGCATCAAGTCTTACATGGGGACCTAAATATGGACCAAGAAGTGTGGGCTGGGGAGGGAACACACAGCGGTGACACCAGCAACCCTCTGCCCAAATCCTGCAGCTTCAGGGTGAGGGAAGGGACGTGGGATCAATCGTCCATCGTGGGATTGATCATGGGATCAATCATGGGATGGGATCGATCATCCATTGTGGGATCGATTGTCCATCATGGGATGGGATCGATCATCCATTGTGGGATTGATTGTCCATTGTGGGATTGGTTGTCCATCATGGGATGGGATCGATCATCCATTGTGGGATCGATCGTCCATCGCGGGATCGATTGTCCATCATGGGATAGGATGGGATCGATCATCCATTGTGGGATTGATCATCCATTGCGGGATCTATCGTCCATCATGGGATGGGATCGACCATCCATTGTGGGATCG